GCTCCTCAGTACGGACACTTTGGGCGAGGATCTGGCCCCATTTGGATGGATGATGTTGGCTGTAATGGCACCGAATCTGCCCTGTCTGACTGCACACACGGAGGATGGGGTGAACATAACTGTGATCATATCCTTGATGCTGGAGTGGTGTGTTCAGGTAAGGGGACAACCTATTCCATACCTCTGGGGCTGGGGTTGTGGAAGGAACCTGGATGTGCCCTAAAGGAACGTAAATCAGGCACCAGAGCATTGCTCAATGTGGCCAGTCACACTGCCGAGCTGGGACTGTCATTACTGGAGTGCCCAGTCCCTGGGGAAAGCCCAGTGGGAACCTGCCCAGGGGTGCCTTACCGTGCCTGGTCCCTGAGCTGGCACAGATGAACCCTCCATCCCTGCCCTGCATTGTCTATTGATTCCCATCTTTCTCCTCCTGTTCACCCAGGAGCTGTCTGGCGGTGCTGCGGGCCAGCTGCCCCCATGCCAGAGGCACCAGAAGTGACTCCTGTGGCCATCCACCGTCCTGGGGAAGGGCGTGAGATGGGGAGATACTTTTAGGTTGTCCCCCCCAGCAGACACAGGTCCCTTGGCTGATGTGTTTGTGCCACCAGCACCCCCTGAGAGTAGCTGGGGGATGTCGTAGGGATTTTTCCTGGAGGCCACCTTGGAGACCAGCTGGCATGTAGTCAGGGTATTGCCAAAGGGCTGTGGGAACTCTCAGGGATCATTGGTTGGTCCCGAATCTGTCCATCTGCTCTAAGGGCACAGATCCTCCTGAGGACGTATAGTGATCCATGAGGAGGCCTTTTGGACAGCGGTGTGTGACTCACACTTTGGTCCCAACGGTGTCAACGTGGTTTGCAGAGTCTGCTGTGGGTCTGCAATAGACACACACACCTGAGTTCTGTGATGGTGGAGAGAAGGTGTGTAACTTGGCCTGGATGTGTTTCTGACACCAACACTTTCCCAACAGCTTCCTCTGTCGTTAATGTAAAAGTCAGTCTGTAAAGAAACTCTCAGAGACCAAGGTTTATTTTTTCTGAAAGAAGCATTCCTTTACTGGTGCCAGGCCAGTGAGGCATAATTCCACCTAGCACCGACCCCCTGAACTTGTTAGTATCCTGTTAATATAGGAAAAGGTCATACATATTCATTATCTTTATGGTGAGTATATACATAAGTATAAGCCTTCCCTGGTTCTCCTTTTAATATTATAATGTCCTTTACACAGGCGTGGTAGTGCATCCTTGTGGTCGTTTCAGTATGTCGGTGGCTGTTACTTCCTCCTTGCTCATTTTCTTTACCTTGTCCTTTTCTTAAAATTGTCTATATTGATACTCATCTTTGTTTTCATTAAGTTCACACATGACAAAATCAGGCCATTCTTGTCTTTTTGTAACTCTTCTTCTTGTTATTATCTTTGGGCATTCACCACGTATCCTACTTAATCAAAGCTGACCTTGGATGGTCAGTAGATAAGTGCAAGGCTATCCAATTAAGCAACCACTATCCTCAAAATATATGCAATTAAGCAACTACTATCTTCATAGGCCTATTGTTAACAATAACAGCTCCTTTCAAGGACCTACCTTCTACGCAATCTGTCCTTTCAAAGAAATATTACAAGGAAACTTAAAGCTATTACTGGGATATGCAGTGGGTGATTTGGTCACATCTTGCTTAGAGGTGGTGTGGGATGTGAGTATGTGAATGCCAGAGGGCTCTGGGAACTCCCAGTTGATTAGATTTTTTTCCAGAATTTTTCCGGCTAGTGGAAGGGAAGAGCCGCTGCTCAGGACGTGTGGAGATCCGTGATGGGGACCTGTGGAAAAGTGTCTGTGATTCCCACTTTGGTGCCAAGGCTGCTGACGTGCTCTGCAGGGAGTTGCAGTGCGGCGCAGCCCTGCCTGTCACTGGAGGAAGTAACGTTGGAGAAGGGGTGGGTCCCATGTGGGATGGAGAGCTGCGGTGTGTGGGGAATGAATCCCTCCTCGCCTCCTGCCCCAGGGGGTCCCCCCGGGACCAGCCCTGCACCCAAGCAAACAGCGCTGCTGTGAACTGCACAGGTAAGGACTCAGGGTGGGCTGTTGAACACCTGGGCTGTGCCGGGGGCAGGGGAGGAGGGCAGGGACAGTGCTGGCCTTGGTATGAGAACAGGAGGGGTGATGTTGTCTCCTGCAGTCTGCAGTTACGCAGGAAAAGATGCAGAAGCCAATGTCTCGCTTCTGTTCCATCCTCCTGCATTTGGTGCACGGATGCCGAAAGGTTCAGGATGGGGACAGAGTCCCTCTGTCCCCTTAGTTACTGTAGCTGCTCCTCTGGGTGCAGTTGTGCAGGGGGAAACGCCTGCTACCCTGCCACAAAGCCCTGGGTCCAAGGAGCAGCACAGGGATCCCTCTGGAAATGGGGCTTCTTCCCGTGTGTCTATGTGACAAGGGGTAGAAAGTGAACAGGTTCACTGAGCCTGTGCTTCTCTGCGTGGCAGAAGGGCTTTTCTGCTTCCAGGGCTCCCACGTTTCTGGCCGTTGGTACCCGCGTGTGGATTTGCCATCCTTGGGCACCATCCCTGGGGCCCTGGCTCTGCCAGCTCTGTTCCCTGTGAGCTGGTGGTGCCTTAACTGGTGGCTCTTTGTTCTGTCATCCCAGAGGAACAGCCAGCCTCCGGGGTACCCAGGAAGGGGTGTGGGCTCTTCACTCTTGTCCCGGAGTCAGGGTGATCCCCGGCCTGACCGGGGGTGGGTTGTGCTTGTGGAGACAAGGGAACTGGGGTATCTGTTCCCAGAGGCTCGCAAAGGGGTAAGCTTCCTGCGGGGATCCCAGACAAGGTCAGGTCTGGGCTGATGCCCAAGGACAAGGAGGGAGCATGGGTTGGGAGGCCTCACTGGGACCATCATTCTGCTCCACAGGGGACACGGAAAGTCCTGAGGGAGGAGGGTGAGTTGGGAGAGGCCCAGGGCAGGCTGTGGTCCAGGGGAGCTGGGGGCTCTGGGGAGGAGTAGCCATGTGAGCCTGGGGGATCCCTGGTGGGGACAGGTCCCTTTTCAGGGTGCTGTCTGGGGAGGAGCAGGAGCCCTGGGTGGGCACAGGTCAGGGGCGAGGGGCTGTTGGAGTGGATGGAAGTGTCAGAGTGTGTGGTGCCACAAATGACCCAGCAGGGCTGGAGCTGGGCACCCCCAGTCTTGCACAGCCCATGAGGAGAGACGGGACTCCTGAACTGCCCTGGGGACAGCCTGGAGGGGAGTGGGCTCCCACCCTGGTGCCTCTGACTCCACCTGCACAGGGCTTCCCCAGACCCGCAGTGCTGGTGCTGAGCGCTGTCCTTACTGGTCCTGTGTCAGTGTTTGAAGGTGCTGTGGAGGTGAGGCTGGCAGACGGCGGCAGGCGCTGTGCTGGGAGAGTGGAGGTGAAACAACAGGGCAAGTGGGGGACTGTGTGTGGTCACTACTGGAGCATGAAGAATGCAGCAGTGGTTTGTAAACAGCTGGGCTGTGGGTCTGCTGTTGAAGCTCCTCAATACGGACACTTTGGGCCAGGATCTGGCCCCATTTGGATGGATGATGTTGGCTGTAATGGCACCGAATCTGCCCTGTCTGACTGCACACATGGAGGATGGGGTGAACATGACTGTGGTCATTTTGATGATGCTGGAGTGGTGTGTTCAGGTAAGATGACAACCTATTCCATACCTCTGGGGCTCAGATTGTGGAAGGAACCTGGCTGTGCCCTCAGGGAGCAACAGTCAGGCATCGGAGCATTGCCCAGTGTGGCCAGTCACACTGCTGAGCTGGGACTGTCATTACTGGAGTGCCCAGTCCCTGGGGAAAGCCAGTGGGAACCTGCCCAAGGGTGCCTTACTGTGCCTGGTCCCTGAGCTGGTGCAGATGAACCCTCCATCCCTGCCCTGCATGGTCTGTTGATTGCCATCTTTCTCCTCCTGTTCACCCAGGAGCTGTCTGGCAGTGCTCAGGGCCAGCTGTCCCCATGCCAGAGGCACCAGAAGTGACTCCTGTGGCCACCCACCGTCCTGTGGAAGGGCGTGAGACGGGGAGCTACTTTGCGGTTGTCCCCCTTAGCAGACACAGGTCCCTTGGCTGATGTGTTTGTGCCACCAGCACCCCCTGAGAGCAGCTGGGGATGTCGTAGGGTTTTTTTGCCTGTGGCCACCTTGGAGATCAGCTGGCATGTAGTCATGGTATTGCCAGATGGCTGTGGGAACTCTCAGGGGTCATTGGTTGGTCCAGAATCTGTCCGGCTGCTCTAAGGGCACCGGTCCTCCTGAGGACGTATAGTGATCCATGATGAGGACCTGTGTGACTCACACTTTGGTCCCAACGGTGCCAACGTGGTTTGCAGACTCTGCTGTGGGTCTGTAATAGACACACACCCCTGAGTGCTGTGATGGTGGAGAGAAAGTGTGTAACTTGACATGGATGCCTTTGTGACACCATCACTCCTTAAATAGCTTCTTCTGAGATGTGCAGTGAGCGATTTTTGTCACAGTTTGCGTGGAGATGGTCTGGGATGTGGGCATGGGAATGCCACAAGGCTCTGGGAACTCCCAGTTGATTTATTTCCAGGATTTTTCCGTCTGGTGGAAGGGAAGAACCGCTGCTCAGGACGTGTGGAGATCCGTGACGGGGACCTGTGGAAAAGTGTCTGTGATTCCCACTTTGGTCCCAAGGCTGCTGATGTGCTCTGCAGGGAGTTGCAGTGCGGCGTAGCCCTGCCTGTCACTGGAGGAAGTCACGTTGGAGAAGGGGTGGGTCCCATGTGGGATGGAGAGCTGCGGTGTGTGGGGAATGAATCCCTCCTCACCTCCTGCCCCAGAGGGCCCCCCCGGGACAAGCCCTGCACCCACGCAAACAGCGCTGTTGTGAACTGCACAGGTAAGGACTCAGGGTGGGCTGTTGAACACCGGGGCTGTGGTAGGGGTTGGGGAACAGAGCAGGGACTGTGCTGGGCCGGGTGTGAGGACAGGAAGGGTTGATGGGTTTGTTTGCAGCATGACAATACTGCAGAAGGAGAACAAAGACATGTGGTCCCTCTGGCCCCTCCACCAGCTACTGAGGGTACAGGAGCACCAATCCACTCTCTTTTCTCCACATCTGTCCCCAGAGTACACAGGGATCAGACTGGTGAACGGCAGCACAGTGTGTGCGGGGAGGGTTGAGGTCCAGGTGCTGGGAACCTGGGGGACCCTCTGTGCCTCCCGCTGGGACCTCTCGGATGCCCACGTTCTCTGTCGTCAACTCAACTGCGGGTTTGCTGAGTCCATTCCTGGAGGAGAATATTTTGGGAGAGAAACTGGCCCTGTCTGGAGAGACTCATTCCACTGTGACGGGACTGAAGCTCTCCTGCAGCAGTGCCCAGTGACCACCTTGGGCGCCTCGCCGTGCTCCCAAGGGAACGCTGCTGCTGTCCTTTGCTCAGGTGAGTGCTGGAAAAATGCTGCATAAACTCCATTTGTCACTTGTGTGCAACATAGCCACTAAAAGTAGGGGTTCCATGGCCGTATCAGGCTGAATTTCTCCTTGGGGAAACCCTGGCTTCCCCAGGAACTGTCTGGAGGGCTTTCCCTGCTCAGACTGACCGCTCGACTTTGGGAGAGCTGAGGACTGAACGGAGGCAGGCATCTGCCCCCAGGGCAGTGGCTTAGGCCCCAGCACCACCGCCAGGCCCAGGCTCCTCTGTCCTTGTACTGTGCAGCGAGCCCAGGACAGGGCTGCAGGGCTCTGCTCCATCCCTCTGGCTGCAGCCGACCGCATCCCGTCCCCACAGAGAGCCCTGCAGAGCCTCATCCCCCCACCCAGGCAGGAGCTGGTGCCCCCAGCAGCAGCTGACCTGGCTGTGAGCTGCAGAGAGGGCCCAGGCTTTGCCCTCACTTCTCGTCAGCACAAGGCTCCACCTTGTCCCGTTTGGTTGAAAATCCCCCCTTGCCCTGCTCCCTGCAGGGTGCCATGCTCCCGGTGCCACCGATGGCCGTGGCATCTCTGCTCTCCCCAGGCCCAGCCGGCTTTGGATCCCTGCGGCTGGTGGGCGGAGGGAGCCGGTGCGACGGACGAGTGGAGATCTTCCAGGATGGGGCGTGGGGCAGAGTCCTGGATGAGCAGTGGGACGTGCAGGAGGCCAGCGTGGTGTGCCGGCAGCTGCAGTGCGGAGAGGCAGGGACAGCCTACAACCCCCCAAAGCCTGAGCGAGGGACGGGCCCCGTGGGGCTGCGAGGGGTCCGGTGTGCAGGGCACGAGGCCAAGCTGACCCTCTGCAACACCTCCCTGCCCAGCAGTGCGCTGGCGGCAGGGCTTGCGGAGGATGTGGGAGTCATTTGCCGGGGTGAGTGGCACTGCCCAGGCGCCCAGGTGACGGTCTGCGCAGGCAGGCAGGCCCTGACAGCGACTGGGGTTTCCACCCGCTGCAGGGAGCCAGCGGGTCCGGCTGGTGAACGGGGCCGGGCGCTGCGCGGGGAGAGTGGAGATCTACTCCCAGGGCATCTGGGGGACTGTCTGCGATGACGGCTGGGACCTGTCTGATGCCGCCGTCGTTTGCCACCAGCTGGGCTGCGGAGAGGCAGTGGAGGCAGCCGGCTCCGCTCATTTCGGGGAAGGCTCCGGGCAGATCTGGCTGGATGGTGTGAACTGCTCCGGGGCCGAAGCTGCTCTCTGGGACTGCCTGGCTGGGCCCTGGGGGCAGCACGACTGCGGGCACAAAGAGGATGCGGGAGTCGTCTGCTCAGGTCTGTGCCACCTCAGGAGCTGTGGTGGGAGCCTGGTCCCGGGGAGGGCAGGACGCGGGGAGAGCCGGCCATGGCCAAGGCTGCCCCTGGCTGCCTCTGAGCTCCTGCCCAAGGCCCACCCATGCACGGACACCCTCAGTCCCACGGTGGGTCCCTGGGGAGCTCAGCTGTCCCCGAGGGTTCGCGGGAAGGGCAGGGCTGGCTGTAAATCCGGGACTTCTCTCTGCCCCTGGGTGCAAGGGGGATGTGGTGGCCTTGCCCCTGCCCAGCTGAGGGCCTGGGGGGGTGTAGAGGTGTCCTGGCTCCCACAGCCCCAGATCAGCCTGTTCCCGCTTTGGGGCCTTTTCTTCCCAGAGTTCATGGCCCTGAGGCTGGAGAACAGCGACGGCTGCTCCGGGCGCCTGCAGGTTTTCTACAACGGGACATGGGGGAGTGTTTGCTCTAACTCCGTGACTCAGGACACTGTGACACTGGCGTGCAAGGAGCTGGGCTGCGGGGACGGAGGATCCCTGGAAATACGCCTGCCCTCTGGCAGGGTGTCTGGCCCTGCCTGGCTGGATCGTGTTCAGTGTGGGGAGAGAAACAGCTCCTTCTGGCAGTGTCCCTCCACGCCCTGGAATCCACAGTCATGTGAATACCTGGAAGAGGAGATCCACATCACCTGCAATGGTAACTCTGAGCCACCCATGCACCAGTGTCACCCCAGCTCCTGCTCCCCATGGGGCATGGCCAAACACAGAGAAAGAGCTTTGAGAAGCTTTTACTTTCCATGCCAGACCCTTATGCTGTCAGTGGCACAAACATGACCGCGGCCACACACATTTCCAGCAGCAGTTGTCACCCAGCTTACCAGCAGTGCCTGGAGGAGGCAGAGGCATCTCCACGTGAAGTCTCAGAAGAGACCAAACATGTTTCAGAAGAGCCTCCCCTCCACAGACAAGCTACTGCTGCTCTGTGAGCCAGGGACCTTCTGGGGCTGAGCAATCAGGGTCCCCCCACAGTCCTGCACGTGTCCCCTGGATGACAGGGTTTTAGTTGCTGCCGTGCCCCAGATGGTGCAGGGAGGCCCGAGCAGAGCTCAGCCCCACTCTCTTCTGCATGATCCCCCAAACCAGCCCCTTCACCACAGTGTTTCTTTCTTCAGGGGGACAGCCAGAAATGCCTCCAACCTCACCGGCGCCGTGCCCCAACTCCACGAGCTGCACAGGTAGGGAGGTCCCCTCTGTGTCTGGCAGGGCTCTGCCTGCTCTCCCGGTGCCATGGGAGGTCTTACTCTTCTCCAGCCAGGGAGAAGATTCGTGCCGTGGGAGGCAAGGACGGGTGCTCGGGCAGAGTGGAGGTCTGGCACCGTGGCTCCTGGGGGACGGTGTGCGACGACTCGTGGGACATGCAGGATGCCGAGGTGGCGTGCAGGCAGCTGGGCTGTGGCCCCGCAGTGTCTGCCCTGCATGAGGCTGCGTTTGGAATGGGGACAGGCCCCATCTGGCTGGAGCAGGTGGAGTGCCGGGGGACGGAGCCATCCCTGCAGGACTGCTGGGCCTGGCCCGGGGACAGCGGGGCTTGCCGGCACAAGGAAGATGCTGCCGTGAGCTGCTCAGGTTAGTGGCAGGGCTGGGAGCCCTTGCTCGGGTATTGGCAGGGAGCTGGGGAAGGCCTTTTGTTCACGTGGTCCGGGCATGGCCCCCGACCTTCCGAGAGAAAGAACATTCCTGTGGAGTGCAGGAGCCCGGTGCCAGGCAGGGAGCAGCCTCGGTGTAACTGGCCGTGCTCTGGCCACTGCCCGTGGGGCCCTGCAGCCCCAGGGCTATCCCCTGGGCTGCCTCTGACATCCTGCCTGCCTCCCAGAGTAGAGGTGCTGGGCTCTGTCCCGGCCTCCCTTTCTGGCACTACAGGAGGGGCAATTTGGGTGGGATGTGTCAGGGACATCTAGAGAAACACACACACACACACACACACACACACACACACACACAAACACGGTGTGTTGGGGAGGAGGTTTCCTGATACCCACACACCCAGTGTCTCAGCCCAGCTCTCCTTTTCCTCCTCTGCAGCTACACCCAGGATGACAACACCCCCACCCCGAGCAGGTAACTTGTCCTCCCCGGAGGCTGGGTACCCCAGGGCCAGGCTGTGACCCACAGCTGGATGGAAGGGGCTCCTTGCTGGGGTGTGAAACTGCCTGGAGGAGATACTGGAGTGGTGGCAGGGGGTTGGGGAGAGCTGTAATTTACCCAGGAGGGTGGAAGCTTCCCTGTCACTCACCCCTGGGGCCATCCACCTGCTTCTGCTTTGCGTGATGGGGCCAGCACTGGTGCTGCCCCTTCCAAGTTCTCTCCCATGCAGATCCCACCCAAGGCCGTCAGAGCAGCAGCGGGAGAGTCTCAGTGCCCGTCATCATGTGCATCATCCTGGGGACCCTTGTCTGCCTGCTCCTGGCCCTCCTGGCTGGACAAGTGCTGAGCGCCGGGGCTGGGCGCAGAGGTGGGTCCTTGCCCAGAGGTGCCGGGGGGAGATACCTCCTGCCAGGGCTGTGGGGTGCGGCGGGGGGTATCAGCGAGGGGCACAGGCAGAGCGGGAGGGTGAGACTGTGTGCTGCTACCTGTCACATGTGCTGCCCCATTGAGTGACTGGCCGTGGGGCACCAGCAACAAGGGGTAGAGAGAGCCCCAAGGTGGGGGCAGTTAGCCATGGGGTGAGGAGAGAAATGGCAGAGTGGGGATGGCCAAGGCTGGCTGTGCTCTCGGTAGTGCTGGAGGGGGCTCTGGGGCAAGAGAGATGCTAGGAGGAGTGTGGGGCAGCAGGGTCCATCACTGTGGTGTTAGGCCCCCAGGCTGTCCCCCTGCCCAGCCCTGCCCACACCCTGGCAGGACAGGGGCCCTACTATAGACCCGTGGGGCAGGTAGGGGCAAGCTCCAGGTGGAGAGGAAGGGTGGTAACAGATCCAGGGTGAGACAATGGGGACATGGCGCACAGGCCAGAGGGGCATGAGCACTGTCTCCAAAGCAATGATGTGAGGGTGACGCTGCCCCAGATGATCTTCACATCGATGTTGCCCTCACTGGGGATGTGGTAGACATGCCTGGATAGCACAGTGGGGCTGTGCTGTTCGGCCTGTCCTGAGGTGGCCCAAGGAACCGTTTTGGGGGAGCACAGTGAGGTCTATTTGCCCCTCTGCCTGTCCCTGTGCCAGCCCTGCCTCTGTCCCCAGGCTCCAGAAGAGCCCAGGAGCCCTTCCCCGAGGCTGTGTACGAGGAGATCGGGTACAGCCCAGCGTGGGAGAAACGAGCCAGGTTTGATCGCTCAGGTGGGTGTGGGTCTTCCCTGGAGGCACATCCGCAGGACCCATTCCTCTGGCCCCAACCCAGAGCTGACCCCCTGAAGCCCCCCAGCCTGTGGTCCCTGTGGTGCTGTGGCTGTGGGAGCTGTGGGGAAGAGCATCCAGGTCCTGATCCCAGGAGAGAAGCTTTCTCCCAGTCAGCTTTGACTGTCCCAGCTGGACAGCCCCTCTCTTCCTGCCCCTGCACCCCATGAGACACCCGAGGAGCGAGGCAAGGGGCTGTCCTGGGCCAGCTCTGGAAGCTCCTTTGAGACAGGGTTTGTCCCGGGGAAGCAGGGTGAATTCCCAGCCCTCCTCCCCACACAGCCCCAGCTCTGTGGGTCCCACTTCCCCAGCAGCGCTGACCGTGAACCACGTCAGTGGGGCTTGCTCCATAACACCCGCTGTGCATCTCTCCAGGCTCCTATTCAGAGGAGTCCCTGACCCAGCTGCAGCCCCACCCTGGGGTCAGCGAGGAGGAGAATGGTCTGGGATCAGCACCAGGTAACGGAGGCAGGAAGGGGTTGATCTCCCTGCAGACATGGGGTGGACAGAGGTGTCCCTGAGTGTCACCATCGGAGAAGGGGAGGACATGGGCATCTCTTGTGGTTCTGCCAAGCCCAGTGTCTGCGCTCTGTGTCCCTGCACATCCTCCCATCCTCTGCTCTTCAGGACAGATCTTCTCACTGTCACCAGCTCCCCTCTCCTTTCAGATGTCCTTGTCCTGCCTGGAGGTGACACAGCAGATGGCTACGATGATGCCAGGGAGGTTTCTGACCTGGGGGAGGATGCTGTGCCTGGGCAGGGAGAGTGGGAAATTCCCAGGATGCCAGAGGAGGGAGCAGGGCCCAGGGCTGCACCTGGAGGTGAGAGGGAAAGAGAGTACTGCCTGTTCCTAGGGTGCCATCCCTGGTGCCCCTCAAGTCACTACCCTACTGACACCAAAACCTGCTGGGAAGGGGGAACCTGGCATAGGAGTTTTCCTTGAAAGGCCCAGGGGTGGGAGAAGGAGCTGAAGGTGGTGAGGAGCAGGGAGGGTGGTGGTGTACAGACCCCATGGGGTGAACTGAAACGTCCGGCCTTGCTGCTTGCAGGGGGCAGCCTGCGCTCCTGGAGAAGTGCTGAGGTCCCTGGAGCTGAAGGAGACACATCATCCCCGTCCCCGGGGAGCATGGGCTATGATGATGCTGAAGAGGTGCCTGTGGCACTTCTCTGTGAGGACGCAAAGGCTGTGACACCGAGCTTGGTGCACAGCAGTCCCTGAGCCCCAGGCCAGGAGAGCCCATCCCTGCTGCACAGCTGGGTGCAGCCGGGAGGGAGGAGAGGTCTGTGCAGCTGGGAGAGCCACGAGCACCAGGGGACTGTCTCCCTTGAGCCATGGGCAGCAGAAACCGCCTGGAGTTTCCTCCATTTTTATTCCCATTTTTATGCTGTGCATTCTTATATTTGCTTATTAAAAGCCTCTGGGGGCTTTGACTCAGAGCTGATGCTTCCCTGCCAGGTGTCAGGGCATCTCCCTGAGGCTGCTCAGGGGGAGCAGAGAACAGAGACACGGTCGTAGGGAAGGGGCACGTCTCAGGGACAGCAGGCTCAGGGTCAGCCTGTGGGGCTGCGTGAGGCCACAGTCCCTGGGGAATAATCTTGGTGAGAGAGACATCCATCCTGCTGCCCACAGGCAGTTTCTAATCAAAGTGACTCTCTGATAGGTCCCATGATGCACCCCAGTGGGAGCACCCATTTCTTCCCCCTAAGGGTTCCAGCTGCTCTTTCCCCCAGGCCCTGCCTGGGCCACACCGATCCCACCATGCAGAGGCCACGACAGAGCTGCCATGTCAGGGTGAGCCCTGGGCTTTTGTCTCACAGAAGCAAGCCCTAAGGTGACCGCAGGTCCCTGAAAACCCCAGCCAGCCCCAGGTGGGATCATGGCCCACGGATTACCTCCCACAATGCTTGGGAGGCAGCTCTGCTCCCCACTGCCCTGGCACAGGGTGCAGAGCCACCTCCTGGGAAACACGTGGCTGGGATTCTCTCTCCTCATGCTCTGCCAGGACCCCAGTCTCCATGGGCTGTTCCTCCTGCCTTGCAGACCTGGAGCAGCCCTGGGAAACCCTCCTCCTGCTCCCCTCCAGCTCCCACCCCGCCCCCCTGCTGCCTTGCCAGGGATGTCAGTTTGGGCTGTGTGCGGGGCAGTACTTGTGGGCAGGTACTGTGAGGGCTTGGAGCACCGAGGATGAGGGCACTGTTCCCTCAGCGCTGTTAGAGGGCCAGGGGGATGGAGAAAGCTTCCCCACAAGACGCGTGCGGCAGCCAAAAACTGTGCTCCAGCCCCTGGCCTGGAGAAGGGCCCATCCGGGAGGATGCTCATGTGGACACTTTTCCATGGCAGTGGAGATTTTGTGTCCCTCCAGTAAAACAGGTGCTGCTGGGAGCTGAGACAGGGTCCCTCTCCCTCAGCTGGGGTTTCACCTGCCCCAGCACCCACGGCACAGAAACTTTGTGCAGAAGCCAGGCTGGGAGAAGAGTTTGGCACCTGGGCAGGACCTGGCGCCCAAACTGCCCAACTGCCCTCCCTGCTCCTGCTGGTGGGTCTGCGCATGCCACCGGCTCTTCCACAATGGGCTTCTTTTCTGCAGGCTGGAAGGTGCGTTGGGTGTCTGTGGCAGGATTGCCTGTGGGGAGTAGCTGCAGCTCCATAGTGCTGCAAACAGCAGGATCTGGCCCTGGAGCAGAAGTGGAGAGGAGGCAGACGTTGCCAACATCCTCTCCTATTGCAGTGTTGTCCCATTCCCTTCTGGGAGCTCCTCCACCCCTGGGCTGACCCTGGGGGCACCTGGGGGGAGCCGAGGTTCACACATCCCCCTGCCCCACACCTGAGAGCCTTCCTGCTGGCAGCCCCCATGGGAGAGCAGTGTTCCCAGGGCAAGACCCCCACAATGATGCGTGACATCCATGGGCATTGCAAACACAGCCTGGATAACTCCCACTGGGATAAGCTCCAGCCCTGCATCTCAGAGAAATAAGGTATAAAGGTGAAGTAAAGAAGAGGGGAGTGTTATCTTCTGAACACGGGATGGTGGGGGCCTCTGGACAGTATGGACACTGATCTGCACACTCCAGGTGCCCCAAGTGGGAACTGGGGAGAAGAGCCCAGTGCCTGTCCGGTGTGACTGCCCCACCAGCTCTGCCCTCCCACAGGTGTAATATTTCTCCCATAATCTGGCACCTGGTAGAGGTTTGCCTCTTCCTCCTTGAGGAAATAAGCCTCAGGCGTGGGTGTGCTTGAGAGGGCAGCACCACTGAGCAGAAAGAACCTGTTTCATGCATTTTGGGACCTAACAGGATGCCCCTGCCAGATGGGTCCCTTCTCTGCATCAAAGCAGGATTGCCACTGTGTCCCAGATCTGTGTCTGCTCCTGCAGCTCCTGATGATCTACCTGAGGGGGGTCGCAGTGAGACCCCAGCCCTCAGCACCACTGCCCCACACTGGGCAGAGCTCAGATGTGGAAAGCCCATGGGAGAGCAGTCTTATTTCTCTGAGTTTGGGCTCCCTGTTCCCAAGGAGGAGCAGTGCAACAGGGCGAGGTGCCCCCAGGCTCTGATGACACCCCAGGGTGTGTGGTGGGGGCACACAGGGGCAGAAATCCCATAACCCCTCCTCTAGTCCCTGGGCCTTGCCCTGCACCACTCCATCCCAGGAGGTGAGGTGGACAGCAGGCTTCCATCTCCCTGGGGCTGCGGGTGTGGGTTGGGCTCAGGGATCTCCCCACTCCCTCAGCACTGAGGCCGGTCCTGACAGCAAAGCAGTGCCCTGGGACAGCCCTGGCTGGGGTCTCCGTGGCAGGGTGGCTGAGCACGGGCAGCTGTTAACTCCAAGGCTGAGAGCCTGACCACATGCAGGGGTGGTATCTTCGTGGTGGTAAACATGGGACAATTGTGCTTCTCAGCTGCAAGGAGTGCCTCTCCCTGGGAGTGGGGGGACAGTGGCCTCCCTGTGGGCAGTGTGCCCTGGTCTGGGAACTGAGGTTGAGGTGAAGGATGTGTGTGAGGAAAGGAGCAGTCTTTGCACCAGTGAGAATGACCATGAGGAGAGAGACAGAGTCTTTGCAGAGACCCCTCAGTGGAGAGATCCCGATCTCTGTGGAGCAGGGAAGGAGACCCAGCTGGAGAACACCCCAAAGACACACTGAGTGGAGAGTCCTGCCCAGGGGAAGCCTGGGGGCTTGTGGTGCAAGAGGAAGGCTCCTTCTAACCTGTAGATGTGCAGCTACAGCACACGGGCAGTGCTCTGGCAAGAGGGGAAGGAGCAAGGAGGGACAGGGCAGGATGGACAAAGGCAGACGGGCTCTGCAAGACCCTAAGGGAGAAAAACATTGCTGAAACCCATGGTTGAACCAGGGACCTTTAGATCTTCAGTCTAACGCTCTCCCAGCTGAGCTACTTTCAGCCCTGCCCCAGCAGCCCTTGTCCCTGTGCCACCCGTGCCAGGCCACAAGCCTGACACACGTGAGGAGAGATCCTTGGGGACGTTCCCAGGAAAAAGATGTGCCCAGTGCAAGCAGAGTGGGCCTGGCCTCTCCGTGCCCCTGTGGCCAGGTGGGCTGCAGTTGCGGGGTGGGTGCCAGCTTACAGTGGGAGTGACAAGATATGTGTTGGGCCTTAAATACAAAGGTGATGGTTGCAAAGTCAAGTGAGCAGGCCAGGCACATGCAGCTGCAAAGGCTGAGGAAGAAAGAAGTGTGGGATTGGTGGCAGACACCTCTCACAGAGAAGTGAAGGGCCAGGGGAGGAAGAGCTCGTGTTGGTGCCATAGGCTTTTGCTTCATTCTTGCCTGAGCCAGAGCTTTTTGTTCAATATTGGGAGACCATATGTAGGGGGAAAGGAGGCTTGGAAACCTCCAAGGGTCTGGATTGCAGAGCCTCTCAAGATAACCTCTTCCAGTGTGTAAGTGACCTCATGGTTATGACCTCATGGTCCTCATCTCCTGCCTGAACATTCGTTCCACTTTTGTCCCTTACCTCTCCTTTTCCCACCATCCACCACGATGAAGAGCCTGGCTCTATTTTCTTAGCTGCCTGACAGGTACTGAAATGCTCCTACCAGTTTTCCCAAAGCCTTCTCGTCTCCATACTGGAGAGTGTTCCCTCAACCTTTCCTCAGGTGGGAAGCTCTCCAGCCCCCTGCACGTCTACACATACCCGACTGTATTGGTGCCTCTTCACTGAGCTTGCTCCAGTTGATCAATGTCCTTCCTGTACTGGGGGCAGGAGGCCCCAAACTCAGTACAGTACTGGGCATGTGGTCTAGCAAGCACTGAATGGAAGGGGAGAATCCCTCCCCCTCAACTCCTGGCCATGCTCCTCTTCAGACAGCCAGGATGCTGTTGGCCTTCTGGGTTGCCAGCCGTCACCGCTGACTCATGTGAAGCTTGTTGACCACCATGACCCGCAGGGCCTTTTCTGCTGAGCTGCACCCCACCCAGGGCTGTTGTCCAGGGTTAGGCCAGCCCAGGGAAAGACTTGGTTGAAGATGAGGGGTGTTGAGGGAAAGGATTAGGGAGGTAGGTAGGGCTTAGATTTCAGGTATCTGGTGAGGTTTTCAGCTTCAGTGATCAGGGCAGGGCTAAGGATGAGAGCTCACCTTTCAGGGTTAGGTGTTAGGGTATAGGCAAAGGTTTAGGGGGAGCTGGGCAGTGCCAGGCCTGAGGGGCAAGGATGTGGCACTCGGCGTGTATTTGTCCTCAGAGTGACCGGGGGAAAACCTCAACTGCTGATGACTGCCGGGGGCAGCCTGGTCTCTCCTTCTAGCAGCAAGGACCTGCTCAACTTGGCGTCTCGTAATTTGCATAAGCTGTAAGCAAACTGTTACACCCCTGGGGCTAAGGACGATTTCTTCCAGGAGGGCTGGTTTCGTAACTAGAGATAAGCATGTGCTATAGAAACAGGAGTAGAAGTTGTTAAGGAGAAGAATGCTGTGAGCTAGCAGAAAATTAACTGCAGAAAAAGTCAAGCTGACCTTAGACGTTAGCCAATCATGAGCTCAACTTTTGTAATATGTATTAGGTGATTAACCATTGTGCCAATCAGCTTAAAACACATGTCTCTCTTTGTCTGTTTGGAATATAAAATCGGTTGTTGTGTTCAATAAAGTAGATCCTGACTTGCATCGAGCTGGGTCTCCGTCTCTCAATCGCGGCAAATTGGTGACCCCGACGTGATTCGGGATTAAGAACCACCTATCTGCGTGGCATGCTGCGAGTCCCACAGAACTTTGAATGAGCTGCTGAAAGGAAGCAGGAGCCGGCATTAAGAATCCCTCCGGAGTTGTGAGGTGAGCTGTGGGAGACATGGGAAGTCAGGTGTCTTCCCCAGAGAGGGACGTGTACGAACTTATGAAAGCCCTTCTTGAAAAATATGAAAAGAATCTCTCTGGGCAAGATCTTAAGGTTATGCTCAAGTGGGTACAAGTGAAAATCCCCACTGTAACTGCTTCCAGTATATTAACGACTGAGCTTTGGGATGACGTGGGGATTAAGCTGTGGGACGCGGCTACAACAGGGAATGCTGAAGCACAGCGCATGCTCCCGTGGTGGAGGACTATCTTTGAAACTCTGAAGGCTCAGGAGACCGTTAAGAATAAAGATACTAAAGACAGGAAAGGTCTCCCGGTCGATAAGAAGACCTCGGAGCCTCTTGAGGTGGGCGCCGCCAAGTACCCCCCAGAGGATGATCCTTTTGATCCAGGACCAGTGGACCCAGAGGAGGAGCCAGATCTCTACCCTCCCGATCCCCAGGACGTATGGGCAAATATTAAACGACAAGCCTTAGAGCGCCAGATAGATAATGTGGAAGCGCGGGAAATTCTGTTGTTAAAGTTAGCGGTGGAAAATGCCAATGCAGATTGTAAGAAGTTATTGAAATCTCTTCCGAACCCTAATCCCTCTCTCGTGGAAATGGTGGAAGCCTGTAATAGAATTGGCACCGTAGATCATAAATTTGAAGCGATGGCCGCTGCTTTTGCTGCCATGCGTGGCACAGCTGGCCCCGGGGTTTGTTATGGCTGTGGCAAACCTGGCCATTTGAAAAAGAATTGTATGGCTGCTACATCTGGAGCCAAGCCCCAGGCACCGGGGATTTGCCCTAGGTGCAGGAAGGGGCGCCATTATGCTAACCAATGTCGCTCTAAGTATGACTCCCAGGGGCAACCGATACAGGGAAACCGATCGCGGAGCGCGGGACGGCGGCGTGTGCAGACACAAGTTCCGCAGTTAACCCCTCCGCTGCCGCAGAGGGATACGACAGTGCCTCAAGCCTTCACCCAGCCACAGCCGGGAGCGCCGGGCTGGACCTGGCAACCAGCCACACAGTAACGATGGATCTGGGAAGTCCCATAAATCTGTTATCCTCTGGTGGGACGACCAGCGCAAACAATGGGAATCGGATATAAAGACAGTGCCGGGTTCCCCCCAAATCGTGGAACTGACTGCCATCGTCCGAGCCTTTAGAAAATGGTCTACACCGCTTAATATCATCACTGATTCAGCTTATGTTGCAGGGATTGTTGAACGAGCTGAGGCGTCTGTGTTACGAAATGTCTCACATTTTGCATTATTTGCTTTGTTACAGGAGCTTATTTTTCTTTTAGATTCTCGCATTCATTCCTATTTCATTATGCATGTCAGATCTCACACTTCCTTACCTGGCTTTATAGCGGAAGGGAACCGGCAAGTTGACCTGCTTACATTACCGGTACAGGTACTGCCAGACCGCATAGCACAAGCAAAACTTAGCCACGCTTTCTTTCACCAAAATGCTGGTGGGCTTAAGCGACAATTTGGCCTTACTACTCAGCAGGCAACCAGTATAGTTGCTGTGTGTCCCGATTGTCAAAGGCACTCATTTCCTACAATAGCAGGAGGAGTTAATCCTAGAGGATTGCAAAGTTTGCAACTTTGGCAAACCGACGTCACTCATTTTTCGGAGTTTGGTCACTTAAAATATATTCACTCCTCTATTGATACCTTTTCTGGGGCATTATTTGCCTCTTGTCATACTGGCGAAAAGGCGCGCGATGTTCAACGACATCTGCTGCGTGCTTTTGCCACTTTAGGCATACCTTCTCAAATTAAAACTGACAATGGCCCTGCATATATTTCAACTGCAATTAAAAAGTTTTTGAGTTCTTGGGGGATCAACCACATTACGGGTATCCCTCATTCCCCCACGGGCCAATCCTTAATTGAACGCTCTCATCAGTCTCTGAAACGCTTATTGCAACAACAAAAAGGGGGAATAGGGACCGTTACCCCCGAGGAACGTCTTCAGAAAGCTTTATATGTTTTTAATTTTCTGAATTGTTCTTTGATAGACAGTAATCCTCCCATAGTCCGTCATTTTAATACGAATGCTTCGCTCGAACTGCAAATCAAGCCGCCCGTGCTGATCCGAGATCCAGAAACAGGTACAGTCATGGGACCTTATCCCCTTATTACATGGGGTAGAGGTTATGCTTGTGTTTCTACAGAGAAAGGGCCTAGATGGATTCCCGCGAAGAGCGTACGACCTTTTCGTGAACCCCTGCCACAACCAACTGGAGTCGGACCGGAGTGCTCCAATCAGAATTTTGGACAGCAGACAGAAGAACTGCCCGGAAACATCACAACTGAAGAAGGAATTACATGAATAAGTATCGAGAACTGTCCATTGCAGAAATTACCTAAGGTTAATGTGTGGGTAACGCTGGCGAACCTTACCGGACAGGATACTTTGTGTCTGGCCACAGCCTCCCCTAGCAACCCCTTTTCCACATGCCTTGTGGGATTGCCCCTGGAGCATTGGCCAATACCTGAGGGCCTCCAGGCACAGTTTCTACCTGGGAATGCCTCTAAGAATGTAACAGAATGCTGGGGCCTATCAGGATGGTTGAGAAGCCTTGTAAAAATGATTGTGTATGCTTTAGAGTTTTTATTCTTTTGTTACTTTGTTTACCCTGTTTTTTGCAGTGTGTGCAGAACCTGATAGCCAGTTCAGTGAAAAGGGTCCTTATTGTGCAACAAGAAGGGGGAGATGCCGGGGGCAGCCTGGTCTCTCCTTCTAGCAGCAAGGACCTGCTCAACTTGGCGTCTCGTAATTTGCATAAGCTGTAAGCAAACTGTTACACCCCTGGGGCTAAGGACGATTTCTTCCAGGAGGGCTGGTTTCGTAACTAGAGATAAGCATGTGCTATAGAAACAGGAGTAGAAGTTGTTAAGGAGAAGAATGCTGTGAGCTAGCAGAAAATTAACTGCAGAAAAAGTCAAGCTGACCTTAGACGTTAGCCAATCATGAGCTCAACTTTTGTAATATGTATTAGGTGATTAACCATTGTGCCAATCAGCTTAAAACACATGTCTCTCTTTGTCTGTTTGGAATATAAAATCGGTTGTTGTGTTCAATAAAGTAGATCCTGACTTGCATCGAGCTGGGTCTCCGTCTCTCAATCGCGGCAGATGACCAAAGGCATCACCACTCAAATGGGCTGGGAATTAGCACTGAGCCCCTTGGCAGGGCACATCCAACGGGCTACACGACACAGGATGTCTCTGTCTCCTTTCTTTGTCACCCTGAAGTCACTTGCCTCTGTTCTTCTGCTCTAATCACTCCCCAGAGAGGCTCACGTCAATCTCCTGAGGGAGCTTCCTCACCCAAACCCCTCAGCACGCCCCACTAAACCCCAAAGACTCTTTATTCCTCCCATAGCTCTCCAGACTCAGTAACTTTCTCCTGGGAGCTTGTTAGAGTCCAGCAACTATAATTAGTTTATTCTTGCATCTTAATTTCTGTCCAGTTGTAGGGGGGCTTTTAGAACAGACTGTCTTTGAGGATGGGTTTTGCTAAATATAATGATGTTAACAACTACATGATGTAAAACAAGTGCATTTCTTTCTCAGTTATACCTCAGAAATGCTTTGAACATTGACAAATGATTTTTCTGTTGACTGTAAAATGTTGCCCACAACACCCCAAATTAATTTGCTAGAGGTGGGCATGGAATAAGGAGGCACAGGAAGATAGGCAGGGAGATCACTAGAGGCATGAGGTCGTAACAAGGCTCTGGGCTAGAAATTTGGCCAAGAAGGTGGAAAAGTTGATTTAAAGTGCCAAACTCTCTTTTTAGCCAACTTGCTAATTGTGCGTATAGTTATAATTTCCTATCTATTTGTCTAGCATATTTCTTTTATGGTCATCACTTGAGGAAGGTAGACCTTAGTGGAGGCTTGGATTTGGCATACAGTTGAGGACTTCATTGTTGTTTGTTTGTTTGTTTTTTAATAATTTGTTTCATATTTTACTTCCGTTTCTTCAAAATTAATAATATTCCTGTGACTATTTACAGTCAAGTCTCAGGGTAAATCAGGTGGGAATTGGTGCAAAGGAGCTGTAACATTCAGCTGTGAACATCAGTGAGGAAGTCTGATGTAGAAGAATGCAAGTCCCAGGCAGCCCCTGAGGGAAATGGTGGGGCTGGGGAGGTGGGGAGGAAAGTTGCCCATACAGTGGGGGACCATGAGGAGACCGCTGTTGCTACATTTCCTGTCCTCCGTAGAAGACCATCAGAATTGGAGAAAGCTTCTCTCACTTCTGTAAAATTAAGAAAGGATTAAAAACCCCTTCAAAATGAACAAAGAAAAAAAAAATATTTACGAAGTTGTCATTAAAATCTTCCACTTTAAGTAGACTCCTGAAGCCTCTCCAATTAGCTGTACAAGCCTGGAAGTCCTGAAATAATTGATGGAAGAGATGTGGCTCCTTTGGGTTTTCTTCATTTTAATGAGACCCGGGGTGTATTTGGTGCTTGAACCTCAGATACTGAGAGGAGCTGAACCAACCTCTGAAGGGGTTACAGTCAGAAGCAAAAGCCAAAGTGTCTTGGAGTGTTAATTGGCCCCTCTGAGGCCCATTACAGACCAGGTGTCCCCATGGATTAGTTAGAGAAGAAAATTGGAGGCTGTGAGTACAGGTAGGCAAAGGCACTGTGCAAGGGGAGTTGATGCTGAGTAAAACTTGATATATTTTATCATGCCAAGTGGTCAGCCCCAAGAAGGGGGATCCCATCCCTCACACTGGCTCAGGGCTCTTCCTGGGGCACTGTGGGGTGGGGTGGGCAATGCTGAGTGCAGGACAGTGGTACCACAGCTCCCAGCCTCCCTGGGGGGCTGCAAGGAAGCCACGACGCCCCAGTTCCATGCAATTATCATGTCTCTTTCCAGGCCTTGGTAGCAGACACAACTGCCATAGCCAAGGGGACAGAGACCCCCAGGCTGTGGACACCCAACCTATAGCATCTCCCTGACTTTCCTGAGATCTCTCCTTGCTCCCTGCCTGTTCCTTGGAACACAAAGCATTGCACTGATCCAGGCTCTGGGTGACATCTGGCACCACAGCACTACCCTTCAAGGGACATTTCTTTCTCCTCCTGTCCAGTCTCAACTTCCTAAGCTGCACTTTGTGATGCTTTTCCTTTCTCAGGTGGTTTCCCACTACAAAGAAAAGGTCCAAAATCTCTGAAAACACCCCAAACTCCTAATTTCAAGCTACTTTTTTACTCCCGCACGACCTTCCACACCATCAGGACAAGGAAGCCCAGGTCACTCAGCCACTCCACATACTTCATGTGCTTCATGCTCCCTAAACCCACCTTTGCAGACATCCTCTGGGCACTCTCCCATTCCTTCTTGCTCCTCAGAATGGGAAGCCCCAGAGAATGTTATCGGTGTGACCACACCAGTGCTGAGTCGAGGGGGATGATAACTCCCCGTGTCTCGATGGTCATGCTGCAATGCAGCTCCGTATGCAGGAGCTGGCTCTATTCATGGTGAGCCTTTACCAGCGGCACATATGGCATCACTCACAGTGCCCAGGGCCTTCTCCTCAGACTCACTCCTCTGCTGGTCCAGTCCCACTTTGCCCCTTCTCCTTGTACAACTTGAGGTTCCTGCTGGCCAAAGCCCCAAGTATCTCAAGGTCCCTGTGCACTGAAGCTCCAGCACATCAGCATTTAAGGCACGTGTGCAGATGGTTCGTCTGAGAAGACAATAACTTGAGTGGATGTATGGCAGTATGGGTAAGAAAAAGAAATGCTCATTTAATGGAAGTGATGACGAAGGTGGAAAGCACCACTGTAATGATGAGATAGCTCATCCCCAGTCACACTGAACTTCACAGGAAGACAATGAGCAGTGAGGTTGACCTACATCTATGTGCCTCAGAAGGTCAGTACCGCACCTTATTGGGCAACGACAACGTCAAGTTTGGGGATAAAAGTGACAAAAATCAGCATTTGTTGCTTTCCAAAACTTGCAGCAAACTCCTGCCAGCAGGCAGCGGAGGAACGGATGCAGAAGCCACCCCGACAAGAATGTTGTGCATGCTGAAAAGTCTTTTTGGTAGAAGGCAGATCATGACGAGGGCTGAGCAGTTTGTCACAACAGG